AGGGTGCACTCCTCCTGGCAGCTTAGGCAGGGCAGGGCCCCTGCACACACACGTGCTGGTAGGTCAGGGAAGGCAAAAATCTACCCCTGCACACATGTGCCAGCAAAGTGATGTCAGGGGTGGCCCTGGGTCTGGAGGAAATTTCACTAGGGGAAGGGTGCAGGTGGGCTGGCGTGTGGCCATAGGGGACACCCCACTGGAGCCAGACAGGCACAGTCTGCCAGAGTAGGAGCTATGATGTAGGCCCCCAGGGCACCAGAGGCCACACTATAAGCACGCATGGCCAGGATGGGGTCCTAGGTGAGGCCAGTAGACCAAATAGTGTTCAGGTTGGACTGGCCCCATCTGATGGGCAAGACTGCTCTGCAGAGTTCAAGTCCAACAGTTTCTCTAGGGTTAAAGTTTCCTATGGGAGCAAGTCCAGCCTGGGGGTATGAGTATCCCTGGCCATGCTCAGCTACAGAACCTCTTACACTAAACTCTCTGGGTTCCACATCCACTGGCTTGTTTCCCCTGCCATTTCTGTAACCAGCTCTCCCTGCCAACTCAAGTGTCTGTGGTGGTTGAGGGGTCTCCTCCTGCTGGGATTCCAGAGGCCTATGGTGAGACTGGTTAGTTTCTTGCCAGTTTAACTCACCTGTTCCCCCAGAGTTGCTGGGCACCGGAATGAGTCCTGGTGCACGGTAGCTCTGTGCAGGGTTTCAAGCTTTCTCCCGCTTCAGCCCAGTTTCTGTGACTCGTCTCTGTCTACTCCCAGTGCCTTCCCTATGAATATCTGCTAGGAGTGTGCCAGTCATCCCAGTCCTTCAGTGGCAGCTGTTCCACCTGGCTACATCTAATCAGTCAAATTACCCAAATCCTCTCAAGTTTATACAGAAAAAAGTTTGAAAAACTACATAAAGAAAAAATAACTAAAATATAAATGACAACTTATTAAAATGCAAATATTATTAGGCTATAATTTTTGGTAAATGGATTATGTTTTGTCAGTGTTTCCATTTTAAAAAGTAAGAAATGTAAGCCTCAGGTGGAAGTGCAAAACACCTTAAGCTTCATTAAATATATTTCTACAAAGATGTGAAACATCTTTATTCCTGAGGTAGCAATACAAATTTTCACAAAATTAAAGTAATGCTTTTCCATAGGGATTCCAAAGAACAGTAGATGCAAAAAAGTCTTGAATAAAGGAATGAAGGTGTTTGGTATTTTTCTACCAAAAAATAACTGTGGTCTTCAAAAGCATGGGGTCATGAAAGACAAAGAAAGCATTATTTTAGATTAAAGGATACTAAAGGAACATGACAAAGAAATAAAATTAATTCTTGATCATAGCAATTTTTTTTCTTTTGTTATATAATGCTCTAGCAGAACAATTTGCAGTATTTGAGTAATAGCTATAGACTACATGGTAATATTGTAAATTGTACAATTCTAAATTTCCTAAGTTTGATAATTGTGCTGTAGTTAAAACAATGTCCTTGTTTTTAGGAAGTACACACTGAATTATGTAGTAATAAAGAACTTTTTATTCACAATATTCTCTCAGTATGTATGTATACATACTACATATATGTACTTGAGAGAAGGAAGATAGCAAATGTAATAAAATTTTAACATTTGGGGAAATTAGGGGAAAAACAGAAAACATTCTTTGTACTATTTCTGCATGTTTGCTGAAAATCTGAAATTATTCCAAAAAATTAAAATAGTAAGTTATAAACAGAGAAAATATTTATAATGCATGTATCTTACTAACGACTTGAATGCAAACATAAAAAGATTCACAGAACTCAAGAAGAAAAAGACAAACCTATACAAATAGAAAATATACTTGAATAGATAGTGCACAAATATTTACCTCTAGCAAAAAAACATACAAAAAGAATCAGTGTTACTCATCATCAAATTAAAACCATTCTTATCATTGTGTAGTGGTTTGCTTTATTACTAATGACACTTTTTCATTTATGGAGCATATTGTCTTTATGGCTACCCTTCATTTCTTTGGGTTAGTGTTTGTGTTTCTCCTTTTTCCATTCATTTACTTTTATATTTTCTATATTTTTTTGTTTAGGTGTGTCTTTTAAAACATATGTTTAGCTAGATATTTTCTTAACTAGTCTGATGACTCTGTCTTTAGACTAATGAATTTAGTCATTTTGCACTTCTGTAATTAATAATGTATTTAGAATTAGGTTTGCCATCTTTTTTCAGCTTTATATTTCCCTTGTGCTTCTATGCTTCTTTTATCCAATTTTCCTGCATTCTTTAAATTGATCATGTTTCACTTTATTTTTAAAAATTATATACTCTATTTGTTTTCTCTTACTACTAAACCTTTAATATAGTACACTTAAAATCTAAAGTTAACATTTCTACATTTCAGTATAGTACACATTTCAGAATTATTTTAACACCAATCATTCCAACTTTGTATTGTCTGTAACGGCTAGCCAATATCATCTTTAGTCTCTATCATTTTAAGTAGAGCTTAATATTATTGTTTACACAGCCAATATCTGTTGAGAATGATATATGCATTTTTTAAAGTTATTCACTCACCATGCTTTCTTATATCTCACATCATTATAACCTGATTATTTTCCTTTTTTCCTTAACTTCCATCTTGAGAATTTCCTTAAGTCCATACTTGACAGATTCTCATCTGAAAATGTCTTCATTTTAACCACTTCTTGGATTGATAATTTTACAGGATACAGAATTTTATGTTGATAGTCATTGTCCCTCAGCGATTATTTTTCTTTCTTGTGGTTTTTATCATTACTATGAGAAAGTCAGCTTCTAGTACAGTTGGTTGTTTATGGCTAAATTTATGATTTTCTGTTTGTCTTTGGTTTCCTGCAGTCATCTACTGAGGTTTCATTTCTGCCTGTTGAATCTGATAATTCTTACACTTAATCAATCTGGAATCAGCTCTTGTCTCTTATTGTTGTCTTGCCTCCATTCCCTCTATTTGTTTCCTTTAAAAATTTAATTAAATATATCTTTGAATAACTATCCTTATCTTCATGTCCATTAACATCTTTCTAATTTTCCATTTCCTTTATATCTGTACTTCATTTGACAATTTCTTTTGATTAATCTACGATTTAACAAATTTACTCTTCAACCAAGTGTAATCTTGTGTCTAAACCATTGGTTTTGAATTTAATTCCAATCATTCTATATACATTTCCATTTCTAGGAGTTATATGTAGTACTTTCTGAAGGCATTGCCTAGTCATTTTTATGGTCATAAGACCATAAAACTTATATAAAATATATATAATATATTTTATATACATTATATTCATTACTCATGCTTTGAACCCATATTTTGTCTCTTTAATCATTTCAATATATAAATTTTATATTCTTTGTTTAATTATTCTAAAACATAAAACTTTTGGAGGAGTTTAATTCTTATTTATGTAATTTTTTTCTAGAATTCTTTCTCACGCCTGATTTCCTTACGTGATTTTAATTTTGGTTTGTATAGGTGACTAAATCTGTGAAATATTTGGAGTGTGAATTCAGATATAGTGCTCTAGAGAGGGTGTGTAGTTGTAACCGCCAGGCACTCTGGGCATGATAAACCTGATTCTACTTTAAAATAGCATTTTCACTTGAGATTTTTGGATCACTCAGGCACACCCACATAAGGATAGCACTGTAGCTACAAATTCTCCATTTGCTGATGGGTAGATTTTTTTCTACCTCATATTACCTAAAGATACGGGCTTTCTGCCGGGCATGGTGGTTCACACCTGTAATTTCAGCACTTTGGGAGACTGAGGCAGGTGGATCATGAGGTCAGGAGATTGAGACCAACCTGGTCGACATGGTGAAACCCTGTCTCTACTAACAATACAAAAATTAGCTGGGGGTGGTGGCCTGCTTGTAATCGCAGCTACTTGGGAGGCTGAGGCAGGATAATTGCATGAACCTGGGAGGTGGAGATTGCAGTGAGCTAAGATCGCACCACTGGACTCCAGCTTGGTGACAGAGTCAGACGCCGTTTCAAAAAGAAAAAAAAAAAATCAGATATGGGCCTTTAAGAGTTCTAAGCTTTTTTTAATGACATGCTCAGTTCCAACACTACCTCAGGTGGGTCCAAGGCCTTACCTCTTCTCCATATGGTGATTACATTTAAAACAAAACAAAAAACAACCACACCTCCCCCAAAATACAAGAAAACAGTTTTCTGCTGTCAAAATGCTTCTCAAAGTAAATTCAACATCAGCTTATGTTTATCATATTGGTAGACATTTCCTTCTTCCGTATTTTCCTACTTTTGTTTTTCTTGCAAATTCATCTAGGATGTTGATTTTCAAGTTTGGCAATTTCAACTGTTTGGTAATAAAACTTTTTCCAATTATCTAGACCACATATTTTCAGAAGCTGAACTCATAATTGTTTAAATTTCAGGGTTATATTTAAATTCTTGGTGGAGAGTTTATTCTCTTCAACTAGCTTATGATAAATGCCATCATTTTCCAATGAATGACTCTCATTTTGAGTTTCTTATTTATTTATTCTTTTTCATTTATTTATTATTTTATTTGTTTAATTTATTTCTCTCGTCTTATTCTCATTCTGCCCTTCACTTTTCTTCTTTCCTAATGGTTCTTTATTCATTTTTCTTTCTCTTACAATTTACTCAGCTCCTGGAGCATAGTTATGGCTCAAAACATTTATAAACTTTAGGCAGAAACTCAGTCCATAGGAATGTGAAAAAAAGTAATTTCTAAATATTTGAATGATCTGATACCAAAGTAACAATTTTCATAAAATGAGAACGTAGTATGAACATTACTGCAGTTTCTCTTTTTACACTTAATCATTTTGTTTTAGCTCACATTCTAATACAGGAAAATTGCTGTCACTATTGCTTTCTTTCCGCTATTGGATATCTCTGAGGTGAATTATTGGCACAACAAATACCTAGTTCATGTTATATGCTGTTAAAAAAAAGGTCTGAAGTTAATAATTTGGCTCACCTTTCAAAACACTCTTGCTTTCTACTTATCATTTTGTTTCATTATGATAATTTAGTTATTCACAGAACTTGGTTTTCTTTCCTGAAACCGGGTATATTAAAGATGAGGTAATGTTGTTATATAACAAGAACTATTTTAAATGCAGCCTATTTAAAATGCAACCTATAGTCCTGAAAGCATCTTTTAAAATGTTATACTTTAACAAACTTGAGATTTCTACTGAGAAAGTTAATTTCGTTCTGTGTTGGTACATGTCCTAGCTTTAGGACAATAAACATAAATAAATACTTTTTCAAAGATCTTGTTGCTGTTGAGAATTGATGTCTAGTAGACAGCCTAACTTCAAATACCTCATTTTGTAAAGCTTGATGTCTAGTAGACAGCCTAACTTCAAATATCTCATTTTGTAAAGCTTGAGACCATCATGCTTCCTAATGATAGTTTGGACTTTGAGGTATGCAGAGGTAATTTGTAGAAATACCATTTACCATCTATTTTCTTCTTAAGAAGATATATATATATATACTTCTTTGTTTCTAGATACGTTTTCTCTGCATAATTCTATTTTCTTAAGATATATACCTTGTCCTTTTATGTGTGTATCATTTTCAGAGTTTTCATAAACCTGAACTAATCTATATCCCTTTGTAACACAGTATAACAATAGTTGATTCTCATTTAAACTGTGGATTAAGTCTCTGTTAATAAAATATTTTTATTGGTCATGGCTTTATCTCCAGTTTCTTAATAATAAATAAGCATTTAAATAAAAGCAATAAGTCAAAAATGTTGCTTGTAATTATTCTTTTCAAATATCAGAAGGGATTCATTCCTACCTTGTTGCAGGTCGAGTACATAATGAATTCATTGAAAAAGACTTGCTGGATAGAGGATAGATTCAACTTCTGGAACAGAATCCCAAAATAAGGTGACTTAATGTCATAGAAGTTCACTTCTGTTGCATGTGACAAACTAGATTGAAGTATCTCAGGCTGGTATGCAGACTCTGCAGTGTCTGGGATCAGATTCCTTCCATCTTGTTACCATGCCATCCTTAGAAGTTTGCTTTATATCCATTAATCCAAGAGGAATCACCACCTTACCTATGTTCCATTTGGCAGGAGGGAGGAAGGATGAGGGAAGAGATTGGGGAGACACATACATCCTGTAAAGATCAGGATCCAGAAGTTGAAATTATCACTTCCAATCAAACCCTTTTCACCACAGTTTTGTCATGTGGTCACACATAACTGCAACAGAGACTCGAAATACATAATCTTTATTCTGGGTAGTCATGTATCCAGCTAAAATTCAGAAGCTCTATTAAAATAGAAAAAGGGAAGAATAGACAATTGGAAAATAGCCAGTCATATTCTGCATACATCATCACTAAATTTTAACCTATATTTCCTATCCAGAATGAATAACATCTAAAAAAATGTGTTAGAACAATCTTAACATTCCATGAGCCAATGAGAAGGTGCTGAGCCTGAATAAATAATGGAATTTCCACTTATGTGAAAAGGATTTTGTTAGACACATACCTCCCAGATTTCCAAAGTAACCATAAACAGAGGTGCAGGTTTCCTATCAGTGGAGAAATATCTAAGTGGATTCAAAACTCTTTTATTTTTTATGTTCTAGTATTAGCTTTACATTATCCAAAAGGAGATATGCACCTTAAAAATAGAGTTGCTGTACTACTAGTAGATGAAACAGATCCCACTTTGTGCCCAGTGAACGTGACACAGAAAAGGAAACCTAGGTGTTTCTAAATAAGTCTTAAGCAGGAGCAAAGCTCAGAAATGCAATTGGAGGGTAAGGGAGATGAGCTGAGTTCTAGCTATATAACATAATACAGTCAAGAGAACTAATAATTGAAAATTTCCTGAGTACTCACCCAGATTCCCTTTAGCAGCATATTAAGTCTATACCCCTACTTCTGCAGGCATTGATGGCAAATGATCATCACATTTGCACCTTCTGCCGAAGATTGCCCTTAGTTGATAGGCACTGCCTTGCTGGGAGATGCCTGGGATTTTCCCTGGTCCATAACCACTGCTTGGCAGGATCTTTAAAAGCCCAGTCTGGTCTCTAGGTAGACCAAACTCTGTAATGTGATATGCTCTTCAGCACTTCCAGTGTGATCAGATTGAGTTTATACTTCTCTTAAAACTGTATCTTTGCTTAGCTTCTTCCTCTCTTTATCTTCACTGCCTTCAATAAATACCTGAGAGTATTCCTTAATAAATCACTTTCATAAGAACCCCATCCCAGGCTCTGTTTCTAGAGATGCCAAACTAAGACATTTTTCCTTAAGTAGGCTTATTATTCTGTTAACATGAGACATAATCAGACACATCTTGATACAATGTTCAATCTATGTCATCATCAACAACTGCCATTTTGATTAGGGACATAGAAATATTTTCACTAATTATTCATTTAATCAGAAAATAATACGTAACATATAAACATATCACAGAGAAATATAGTTTATTTAATCTATCCAATAATGGCTGGGGATAGTGGCTAACACCTACAGTCCCAGCACTTTGGGAGGCCGAGGTGGGCAGATCACCTGAGGTTAGGAGTTCAAGACCAGCCTGGTCAACATGGTGAATCCCTGTCTCTACTGAAAATACAAAAATCAGTCAGTCATGGTGGCAGGTGCCTATAATCCCAGCTACTTGGGAGACTGAGGAAGAACTTCTTGAACTCAGGAGATGGAGGTTGCAGTGAGTTGAGATCGCATCACTGCACTCCAGCCTGGGCAACAAAGTGAGACTCTGTCTCAATAAACAGAACAAATCTAGCCAATAATAGATATATTTTAGCCATAAATGATGCAGAGTTGTAGGCCTAATGCTAATCAATATATAATTTTGATGAATATATACAGTAAAATTCTGCCATAACCTTTTTTGATTACAAAAAGCTCAGGATCATGAAATTTTGAGGCTAATGAAATGGCCTAGGTGAGCTCACTGTGAAGAATAAGTCAAGCTCCAATTGTGCTACTCTATCTCCAAATTTGTATTATGGCAAGGCTTATTATTGCAGGGTGTACTCTACATGACTACTCAAACATTCTTAAAGTTTGCAAGATATATTTAGTCCTGGAATATCACCATTCTGGCTCTTCTTTACATCATGAATAAGTGCCAAATTTACCAGTTTTATAGTAAAAAAAAAAAAAAAAAGTATTTCCCCAAATTCCATGAGATGTAAAAGTTGCTTACAGTAACTTTACAATAATTCCAAGGCCAAAAGCTTTGCAATAATTATAAGAAATATATATGTATTTATAAAAGATCATTCCACCCTTTTTAATGAGTAGTTTTGATTTTTATCCAAATCAGTTTTACTTAAAACTAGGTCACATTCATTAAACAGACACTTGTTAATTCTTGATATTTGCAGTCCAAAGGCAAATACAAGAATTTAAAATATGATTCTTGTTCCTATTCATGTTTCCATGGAGAGGGACTGCTTCTAGATTAACATTCCTGGTATCTTGTCTCATTTTCTTACTCATTGTTTCTTATGAAATAAAACTGAAATAACTGTGTGTCCGCATTGAATTATTAGTAAATCTATTTAAAAATGACCAAGGATTTATTTATATATTTTCTTCCATCTCCAACCCTGACCAGTGTAACTCAGCAATGAATGTGTCACCTCTTCCATTCCACACGTTCCTTTAGGTGAGTGTCTAGACCACCAAGGAGCGACAGTGCTGGAGGACCATTGACCCACCGCTGGGCCATTACTGCCAATCAAATGTCTACCAATAATTAACGTGTAAATTTTTTGGTCAGTTATGTCTCATTGTTTTCAAAACTAGGATAGAGGAGAAAAGACGGTTATTCATTGACTCTCTAGAACCCCAAGAATTCTTTTCAAAATGTTTGTGGTTGTTGATGTGGTGACTTCCCACCAAGCACCCAGACAACCCCACAAAATGTATGATGCACTGATCCCAGGGCACTTCAGAAAAAGTAAATATGCTTTCTGTATTTGCAATCAAGCCAATATGTTTGCCCATTCTGATCCTGAGTGAACTTTTAAAAATATTTTATTTAATTTTAAGTTAATATTTTATTTTATTTAAATTAAATATTTAAGCATATTAAGTACTACACGAGATACATGTGTAGAATATGCAGGTTTGTTACAGTGGTAAACGTGTGCCATGGTGGTTTGCTGCACCTATCAACCCATCACCTAACCCATCTGGGGTACTAAGCCCCAGATACATTAGCTATTTATCCTGATGCTCTCCCTCCCCACAACCCCCATGACAGGCTCCAGTGTGTGTTGTTCCCGTCCCTGTGTCCATGTGTTCTCATTGTATAGCTCCCACTTATAAGGGAGAATATTTGGTTTAGTGCACGTATGTTTGTTTTCTGAGAATAATGGCTTCCAGCACCATCCATGTCCCTGCAAACGACATAATCTTGTTCTGTTTTATGAACCTGAGTGAATTTTTTCCTTAAAGAAATCAATAATATTATTTATTCATATCTTTTAATGTACAGCTTATTTTTAAAATTTGGGTTGTCAGAAGTCTTTAATTAAAAAAAAAATCTTGCCTCAAGTAACTGCTCAGTAATATCTCCAAAAATATTCGTAATAAAACCCTGAACTGAGATTTTCTGTACCTTACACATTATATTAAACGAGATTACCTGACCATCATTGAGAGGTTTCTTTTTTTAGCATTTTAAAGAGTCACTTGGTTGTCTATAACACATTCATTCAACCTGATAAGAAAAAGGGAAGAGAAAAAACACATCAGAAGTTCCTCAAAAGCGGTCCACTGCTGAAATGTCAGAATTTCTCCCACCTCTTAAAAACAGTCTTTTCCTCTCACCATACCCTGGGCAGTCTCATCTACTTCATGACTTTGTACTTCATCCCGATGTTTCTGACTTGTACCACTTGTACATCCTGTCTTGCCCCCAGCATTAACATATTTGCTCAATCCTATAATATATAAAACATAATTTCAGAATTGCTACATCCATGCCACTACCGAAACAAACCTTAAAGTAAAAATAAGGAATTTCTTTGCACTTTTTTAGTCTTTAGAATATATCCCTCTGAGACTATATAGTCAGAATAATCAGAATACACAATTCCAAAATTACCTGGATTAATTCTTTTTTTTTTGTAGCTTTTTTTTTTATGAGCTACAAAGTTAAGTTTGTTTCTGCTTATTGCCAATTTGAAGTTTCTTTTCTTCATCTTTATTGATTTTTCAAACTTTGTTAAAAAAGCATAGTTCACAATGAAAATTACATAAAATATATAAGCAAAAAAAATCACACTCACGTCTATACCCCTTCCACCTAACTCACAACCCTAGTCCTGAAAGCATCTTTTAAAATGTTATACTTTAACAAACTTGAGGTAATCAATTTTATTACTTTCTAGTTCATTATTCCTGTATTTGTTCCAGCAAAATTAAACAAATATAGGCATACATATTCTAATATCCTCTTGCTTCTTAGAAAAAAGGTAGCATATTATATGTTTTTCATCTGCATCTTGCTGTTTTCATATAACAGTGCATCCTAGAAATCACTTACATTGAAGATATTTTTATCATTGCTTTTATTGATAAGTTATTTTACTAATTAAAATTTGGCAGCTACATAGTACTCCAATGTGTGAATGTGCCAGGGTGTATTCTACTTTCTATATGGTATTTAGTTTGCTTCTAATTTTTTTAAATACTGCTGTGAGTAATCTTGTACCTATTTTTTTGTATCTTCAGACTAAAATCCTAGAAGAGGGATTGCTGAGTCATGTGGCAAATGAATATATAATTTCCATAAATAATATCAAGTTCATCTTCATTGTGGCTGTGCCGTTTTGCACTCCCATGAGGAGAGTGCCC